AGCTGCCACGCACGTTATATTTTTGTTTATTTGACGCAGCAACACTCATTTTAGTTGTTTATCTCTGGGATGACAGGATACAGGAATTAAACCGGAAACTGGAATGCCGACATCCGGTCAAAGCGGAAGTGATTCAGGACGCATGTGCACAGAGCCTATTCTGGTCAATAAGATCATTTCAAAGCCAGACATCACAGCACCACTTTGGGGACAGATTTTTTTTTTTCAATGGCAAATGTGGCTGAGTGGTTAGAGCAGTCATCTTCCAATGGGAGAGTTGGGGGTTTAATTCCACCAGCAGTCACATGTTGAAGTGTCCCTGGGCAAGACACTGAACCCCTCATTGCCTTTAATGTGTGTCCCATCGGTGTATGAATGTGATCTAAAGCACTGATTAGTCTCTTTAGAATGATTTGTTCCATTAGCTTGTAGAGATGTAGTAGAGTGCTGTATGAATGGGTGTGGGGAAGTAAATGAGGGCACCGATTGTGTTGTAAAGCACTTTGAGTATCATGATTAGATAGAAAGGTTCTATATAAGTACAGTCCATTTACCATTTCTAACCCAAATGCAAAATAAAAGTTTAAGAACTAAGATGAGTTTTTAATTTGCAGAAAAAAAAAGGGTTTTATAAAAGGCACTACTTTCACAAAAACGTCTATAGATATTCACCACTGTAACCAGTTTCTTAAACTTAGTGTATCTGTTTAGGTTGGTATTTCCTGCAATTTTATGTTTACATGTTCCAGTTTCTTTTTTTTAAATTTATTATTACTAAAATTTTATTTAAAATTATGAATTGGTCTTTAAATGTTTTTAATACATGTCATATTATATAATGCAATAATCTGAAAATAAAATACAATCACAATTAGACAGCCAATATTGTGTCAGTTGTCACCTATAAAATAGTAATGAATATATAGTTACCTTAAAAGTTAACTTTTGATTCTCTACCTGTATTGTTGTGAAGCTCTTTGCGCTTTGATTTATTTTCACTATTGCCACTAAAGTGTTTTTACTGAAACTCTTCTTATAAGATGGTGTTGGGGCGGGGCAGCTAACTCGGGACCCGAAGATTCTAGGTTCAGTCCCCGGTCATTGCAGATCTCATGGTGTCGAGCAGGACACCCCATCCCCAGTTGCTCCCCGGGCACCTCCAAAGGCCGCCCACTGCTCCACCTGGTGGTGGATGGGTTAAATGCAGAAATTCAGTGTCACCATTGTATGGGAACATACAATGATGACAATACATACAGAGGTTAGAGAGGTGGGCCTGTGATCCGAAGATCGCCGGTTCACGCCCCGGCCCCGACAACATCAAAATTGTGGGTGGGGTAGGTGAAACACCCACACTTGCCCCCACCCTCATTTGCCCCACTCTGGGCCCATGAGCAAGGCCCTTAACCCCCACCATGTGCTCCCTAAACAGGTCTCTCTTGAAAATGAGTTCTCGTGGCTCAATGAGACTAACCTGGATAAATAAAGGGTAAAATGAAAAAAAAAAAAAAATATATATATATATATATTATTATTAAAAGCTTATATCTATTTATCTTGGACCTTAAGAAATGCTGTAACAACACTAACATGTTTACATATAGATGCAGAATTCACTGTGGAGACAAAAAATACAGCAGTCCAAACATCAACGTAAAGACTACAGAAAAATAGCCAGACAACTACTTTTATTGCAGTCAAATAAACAAACAAACAAAACTATAATGACTCTGACAAGGTGTTGGCTTTTACATGAGACTTTTTGAACACATCTTGAGAAGTTATTTTAATAATTAAGTACCTAACAGATGGCCTAAGCCTAATGAGCCAATTAATTCTGGCCTCTGATTTTAGTAGCCTGACCAAGTGAACCAACAGGTGTTTGTTTTTTTTCCTACCTGTTCATCTGCTGGAGAAAATCTTGGCATATGAGCTAGTAAACATCACCTTCCAGCCCATGTGACAGCTGTGGCAGGCCCCCTTGTTCTCTCCTGACCTTAAAAATGTCATGCACAGCATGTGTGCATGTTTCTGCTAATAAACCAGCATATGCAAATGAAAATGTCTCTGCAGCATCCATGTGTGGGAGTACTGTGAGTACTTGGACTTTAGTTTTTCTTCTGTTGTATAAATGTAAGCAAGTTTCTAAGGTCTCCAATGTCTCAGAGCTGTTGAGCACTTTCATTATGTCTAAGGCTGTGCCTTTATCTTAATAAATTTTTGTCCACCATCAAAGGAGCCAAGAGGGAAAATTGGAAATACCCTCAGTCTTTCCATCCGTCCATACACCCACCCGTCCATCCGTCTGACCATCTGTGCATGTTGTGAGCATGGTAACTTAAAAAATATGAGGTACTGTCTTCCATTTGGTGTGTGGCTGAGTCTAGGTGTAAGAAAAGTTCCTATCAAAAAATTGGGTTGCCAGGTCAAAATTCAAAATGGCTGCCACAATAAATGTCTGTTTGTGTTGTGAGCATGGGAACTTGAAAAACAAGTGAGGAACCAACTTTCATTTTGGTGTGTGGAAATATATAGGCATAAGATAGTTTCCTTTTGAAAAGTGGGTTTGCCACTTCAAAATCCAAGATGGCTGATGCCATATATATATATATATATATATATATATA